TTGCTCTTTTGATTGCTGATACTATACTGGCCTCATGGCCATCATTATGTCAATCTCAGTTAATTTCCATCATTTCCTGTCACTCTTTTGACTTTCAACATCGCTTAGTTCATAGTTATGTACTCCCCATGTAGCTACACATATACCTGTCCTTGTTGACAGGAAAAATAACAATTTTGAAGCCCCAAGTTAGAGACAGAGAGAGCGAGCAGAGTAACAATGTCAACATGACACCTACTGTTTCCCCTGCCTAGCACTGAGTCACAGGCATAATTCTGACAGATTCCTAGGCAGGCTCAAGGCCTGTGCACTCCATAATCCATTGCACTTTCTGTTTACAGGTCAATTGACTTGTGTGACTTGGTCACATTCACTCCTGCCACCTTCCTACTACTAGGGCAACTCCCCTTGGGTCAAACTCACCCCCTCAGATTGCCTATCCCTAGGCTGGAGCCCACATCCCCATACTAGGTAGCAGATACCTGCTCCATACAATGCATTTGGTGTCAATGACCATGCCTAGTAGGAGTTCCTTGGGTGTGTGTTTGAGGGCTGGTAGTATACAGTTGTTGAGTGCATGTACTGCACTGTTGAGGTGGTCCAGCCAATTCTTCAGGACATTGTTTTTGTCTGATATACCCTGGTCATCTTTGCCTAGTTCTGATGCACAGAGGCACTTGAGTACATGCCCTTCTACAAGGCTGTTAATCCACAGTGAATATGCCACAACTACATGATGGTGACAGGACCACTTAGCACAAAACTCTTTTACTTCATTGTTGTTGAAGTGTTTCCCTCCATCCATCCTGAACATTTCTGGTGTGACATATGCATTAAAGATCATTAATAGGCTGTCCATTGTTGTTTCACAGTGCCCACTGTTTTGAATTTCATGACCCATACATGTTGAGAGAATGTGTCTAGGAATACTCCTAGTGTGTGGTAACCTCCCTTTCCCATGGGCATGCTGAGGTAGTCCCCTATGAGCAGCTCAAGCAGGTGCCTGTGTGTGATCGGTTCTAGTAGTGAGTGTATATGTTGTGTTCTGAAGTTTTTGCACTTAGTGCAGTTTGTGATGGAATTCATGATTGATAGGTCTATCTTGGGTGAATAGTATTTGTTGGTGAGCACCATTTTGAGTGTGTCATGTCCCCAGTGGCTGCTGGTGTCATGGATGTATTTTGCCTCTCATGCTGCTTCCTCTTTTGTGATGCATTCCATTTTGCTTCTTGGCCATACACTTGTCCCTCCATATATGTGCCAAAGGCATCCATCTTCTATCATGTACTGTGAGGCCCTGTGGCATGCTCTGTTCTGTTCCCTGGGGTTCAAGTTTGTGTCAATATTGAGCATGGCATTGATTACTTCTAGGAACACTGGTTCATTAGTGAAACAGTCATGTAGTTTTTGGTATTGTTCATTGATGTTACCTAGCATGAATACATTGTTGATTATGCCTGTTAACATTTTTGGGTCTGGGTCTACCATCCATTGGCTTCCATCCTCATGTGTTTGTTTGGTGTTGTCCCATTGTCGGCTTAGGCCATCTGCTTCTAGGAACACTGGTTCATTAGTGAAACAGTCATGTAGTTTTTGGTATTGTTCATTGATGTTACTTAGTGTGAATACATTGTTGATTATGCCTGTTAACATTTTGGGTCTGGATCTACCATCCATTGGCTTCCAGCCTCATGTGTTTGTTTGGTGTTGTCCCATTGTCAGCTTAGGCCATCTGCTACTATGTTTACCTTGCCTGGTATGTGTCTGACTGATGATATTGTGTGCTAGGATACTGTCCCTCCACCATGCATGTGCTGCTGAGATGTTGCTGTTTGATAGGATATCCTTGAGCACTTGGCAATCCATTTCTATTTCTACTGGGTATCCCTAGATGATATCTGAAAAGTGGTCTAAGCTGTATTTCAACACTGCAAACTCTAGTAGGAATGGTTTATAGTTACATTCTGCCATTGATGTTTGTTTGGATGCAAAGGTGATGGGGACAATCTTGCTCATGGTTTTCCTGCTTGGCATTTGCATTTGTATGCATTGTGTTAGTATGGCTCCTAGTCCTTCTTGGCAGCTGTCCATTGTGATGATGAATGGTGTTCCATCATATCTGGGTGCTTGTAGTACTGGTTCACTAGTTAGTGTTATCTTCAGTTCCATGAACACTGCTGTGTGCCTCTCTGTCCACTTGTCTTCTAGTTTGTAACCTGTCATTGCTCTCTGGTATGTTGTTTTGGCTACCAGGTATGGTATATTGACCTGTTTTATGAGGTCCCTCAGTGGTCCTTCTATTTTTGCATATCCCTTGATCAAGTCCCTAAAGTGTCCAGTTAATCCTAAGAATGAGCTGAAGTTCAATGTATCATCTGGTTGTTTCCAGTTGACAATTGCTGTGAGTTTAGCTAGGTCTGGTTGGACTCCTCTCGGTCCTACTGTGGCTCTGGTGAACATTGTCTCTGACATGAAGAGCTTGCATTTTGCAGGTGATACTGATAGGTGGTTTTTGTGAAACCATTGGAATACATGCTGTAGGGTGGTTATCATGCCCCTGAGCATGTCATCGCTGCATCTGCAGTCATTGACAAATAATTCTATGACATTGTCAGCTAGTAGGTCATGTAGTATGTTCATTACTGCCACTGAGAACATTGTTGGTGTTCCTGTGAGGCCCATGGCCATCCTTGTGTACCAGAAGTATCCCTGTCCTTCCATGAAGAATGTCAGGTACAGTCTCCATTCTTCTGGTACTGCAATCATGTAGAATCCAGATGCAAAGTCAAATACTGATATGTATTTATGTCCACTGAGTCATTGTTGCTTGGCCCTTATGTTGCCTTGTTGTAGCAGTGGTATATGCATGACTTTGTTCAGTTCTGCAAAGTTCTGTGTTACTCACCATTTTGTGGTCCTATTGTCCTCCTGCATTTGCATCTGGTTGGTGTCCTTTGCTTTTGGTATTGTTGGGAATGGTATTTCCACTCCAGCTTGTTCACATTGCCTGTTTAGTTCATGCTGTAGGTCTTCTAGTGTTAGGCTTACTTTGTCATCATGTGTTTTCTGTGTGAGGACTGTTGGCACAACATACTTGATTCTTGAGACATCTGCTTGTTCTATCATTCCTGTGTCAAGCATTTGTTGCATCCATTTATGCATAAACATTTTTTGTGGTGGCAATAGAGGTCGTTGTTGTGGGGATGTTGTGAACTTGAGTCCTTCTGGTATGTTGAGGTTTATTGATGCATCTGGGGCCAATAGGACTTCTTTGACAGAGCACACAAACATATTGGCATATTCTGTGATGAATGCTTCAACTTGCTCTTTTTTGCTTTGTGTGAGGTTCAGGCCTATTTGTATTGCCTTTAGTATGTGTTCAATGCATTTGGGGTTGAACAGGTTTGTTTGCCTTGTGAACACATCATCATCTACATGATTTATCGAGTACATTTCTTTGTTGGGATCTGGGTTGATGTTAGTCCATGGGCCTTGTTCCTTTGATGTTACTGTGTCTCTATTGTACTGTATGTCTTGTTGCTTGTCTGTGTGTTGTTTGATGTCTAGTGTTCTTTGTTTTTCTCCCATGATTTGTTGGTGTGTTGGGTTGTGGTATCTGTTGGTCAGTACCATGGTGTTGATGCCATCCATGATCATTATATTGTCTGTGCTATAGTCATGTTGTGCTTGTAGGGCTTGCAGTAGTGGTTTCCCTAGTAGGAGCACCCAGTTTCCCCTGCTGTTGAACATGATGAACATTGTTTCTGTTTGCACTGGTCTGATCATTATCTGTCCCATCCACTGTGCTACTGCTGGGGTGATTGTGCCATTAGCCATTCTTAACATTTGTGAGCAATTTGACCACCCCCTTAATCTATGTTTTATCACCTTGTAAACAGTGGTGCACATCGCATTAATCATTGCTCTGTCATTGAAGAGGGCTCATACTTGTACTTTTTCTCCACTGTTGCTGACAATTGTTATGTGGTGAACAAACAGGATGGTCTTGTTATCTTCAAGTGTTGTCATGTCATGACTCACAGTGTATACATTGGTTACTCCACTGTTGATTGTTACATGTGTCATCATACTGGGTACTCAAAGATCTGATGTATGTGGGGTCATTGGTCCATCCATTACAACAACCCTTCCCCATTTCCCTGTTCATCCATGATGACTAATCTGACTTCTGCCATCATTGTTCTGTTGAATGGCCCCAAGGCTCTGTTGCAAATGGCTCTTCATGCAGTTTCTTTGGGGTCAAGGTGCATAGGGTCCCCCAGGGCTATTGGGCAATCCCTGCTTGTGTGTCCATGTGTGCCACATTTGTAGCATTCACCTGAGCATATTGCTGAAGTGCCCAGATTGAGAGGGTATGGCATGTTCTCTGTTACTTAGGTTCCTTCTCTGTGTGTTCTCATCCATTGTGTGACTTGTGTGTTATATGCTCTCCATCCTGCATTGTCTGATGTGTGAAGCTGGAGCTGTGTGATGTTGTTGTGTATGACAGTTTTTTGTGTCTCCATGAGCAGGGGTGGTGGTGTTGGGTGCTGGGTTTGTTGTATGGTGTAGCATGTGTTGGTTGTGTTTGTTGTTGGTGGGGGTCTCTGTGGTTGGATTGTGAGGCTCTGGAGAGAGGAAGTGATGTCCATTGTAGGGAATGTAATTTCCCTACCAGGGGAATTGCCTTATTTTGCTTGTTTTACTTCATTTTCATTCTAGATACTTTTTTTCTATGAGTTGTACTTAGATTTCGCATTTTTGGTTGCTTAGTCAGCAGTAGTGCTACTTGTGTATGGTTTTTTTCCTTTATAAAAAAAGAGATGAGTGACCCTAAGATGAGAGACAAGTTTGAGCAGGCTGTTCCCTGCACCAAGACTGCCATAGAAGCCTTCAGATGACTACAAGGATCCAGTTCCAGGCTATAGAAGCCCCTTTTGGCCTACTCATTCCCCTCAGATGTTCCTACTAAACCTCTCTCCTCATTTAATTCTCTTTTCCTACACTGTGATGGAGGCTTTTTGCTGTTGTATGATCCTTCTCTCCCTCTCCTCATCATCTTTCTTGTGCTCATCCAAATCTTCCTTCTCCCTCTGCATTTCTTCCATGTCCAGTTCTCTGACCTCTTTTGCTAATTCCTTGAATGCTTTGTACTTGTTCTTCATCATGTGTCAGATGACCTTTGGTAGCTTCTTGTGGACAATGTGGACTAGGCTGATGTTATTCACTACCTCCACTGCTTTTGCCAGATGGAGTGCTTCTCTTGCCCATATTATGTGTGTCCAGACCTTTATCCTATTGACCTCCTTTGTTGTCCCCACCTCTTCATCAGCCAAGGTCAATGCAAGTAGTTCCTCTTGGTACATCTTGGCTGTCTTCTCTGCAGGCAGCAAGGGTTCCCATCATTGGTTGAATGAGGTCTCTAGTGCTGCCCATGCAGCTTGCTGTGAGCCTGTTAGTTTGTCATACCATTTCTGTGCCTCCAAGCATGGCACTATGTAGTCCTGTAGCACCTCTATCTTCTCTGCTTTGTCTGTTATTCCTGTGATCCTCATGACTTGCTTGAATGTTTGTAGGAACATCTGGGGATCTTGTGGATCATCTTGGTCCCCCCAGAACAGTTTGGGGCTGTCCATTATGGTGCCTCATGCTAGGGCTGTTGTTGAGTGGCTGGGTGTGGGAATGGTGGTGGTGGCAGGTGTGTGTACTGGTAGCTGGCTGGGGAATGGCATGTATCTTAGTGCTGGCTGTGATATTATGGTGGATGTGGTGTTTGGTGTTAGCATTGTTGTCTGAAACCAGGGTCATGTTGTGGGTGGTTGTCCTGTGTAGAATGTTGGTAGTCCTGGTACATCTGACCACTGTTCTTCACTGTCTCTGTTTGAGTTGTCTGACCCTGGGCATTGTGGGCTTCTAGGGGGGATGCCTCATGTGGATGTGTACTCTGGTGGTGAGTCTATTATGACTTCTCATCCTGATGTGAGGGCAAGGTCACTATCCATTGGTGGGGTATCTATGGGGGAAGGTTCTTGTGAAGCCATGGCTGTTGTTGCTCGTGTGTAGCATCCCCACTCATCTTGTGGCTGTTGTCTTCTGGTAGGCAGGATGGTCATGTGTGTGGGGGGATAGTGTTGCTGCATGGGTAGCTTTTATGGGTTTGACTTGTGTTTTTCTCATGGTTTTGGGTTGACACAGGATGTCAGTTCTATGTGGGTTTTTGGGGTGGCTTTGGGTTGTCAGTTGTTGTGTCTGGGTTTGTGGGTTTGAACACACTGTTGTCACCACAATGAAGTAGGAAGAACCTTCAACCCTGGTGATCTCATAGTGACACACACCTCACTATGTACTTCTGTCCTTGCTCCCTTCTGCCTGCATGACTAAGTGCTTCTCACACTCAACTAGCCCCTCTCCCCCTACTACAATGGGCCTGTTGGTGATATTGTTTAATAGTGTCACAACATATGGACAGGCCATCCATAGTAAGATGTACCTCTGATGAAACATAAAGATGGGCCCATCAGTAATCTCATGTACATCATCACAACACATGGACAGGTCCTTCAGCACTATCATTTATATCATCACAACAAATGGATGGGCCCAGTCCCAGTAAGGTGTACCCTGTTGAAACATAAAGACAGGCCTGTCAGTGATATTGTTTAATAGTGTCACAACATATGGATAGGCCCTTCAGTGATATTATTTATATTGTCACAACATATGGACAGCCCATCCACAGTAAGATGTACCTCTGATGAAACATAAAGATGGGCCCATCAGTAATGTTGTTTAATAGTGTCACAACATAATCATGGGCCCTTCAGTAGTATTATTTATATTGTTGCAACATATGGACAGGCCTGTCAGTAATATTGTTTAATAGGGTCACACCATAAAGACAGGCCCTTCAGTAGTATCATGTATATTGTCACAACATATGGACAGGCCCATCTAGCAAGATGCACCCCTGTCACAACATAAGGATGAGTTTGTGAATGGTATTCATAGGCAGCAGAAAGGGAGATCCAAGCTATCTACATAAGGACAGCCCATGTAAGGCATTCTCAGGCAGCAGAAGGGGAGATCAAAGGGATCTACATAAGGTCAGGCCCATCCATGGTATTCTCAGGCAGCAGATAAGGGAAAACAAAAACCAGTGTTACAACATAAGACAGGCCAATCCATTGTATCATAGATAGCTCACCACAAATGGATGGGCCTATCCATATTGGGTTATCCCCCTGTCACAATATAAGATGAGCCCAGGAAGACAAGAAATGAAGAAAGTGGAACCTCTCACACTATAGAGTATCTGAATTTCCCACTATAAATTGTGTTTCATGTTGGATGATTTGCCTATTCAGTTGGAATCTCAGGTGCTGGTCTATGTAGCTGTGAGCCAGGACTCTGCCATTGGGGCAGATGGGAAACATGCAAAACAAACAGCAATGTTATTCCAGAACAATGCATAATATTTTTATCTGAGCCTCTGCTTCATATATGCATTCAGGATTATAGACTTGTACCAGTATTGCCATCATGCAGTGGGAATCATTCATAGGCAGGATAAAAAATGTGACATCTGCATATCTCATTGTCTGTCTTTAACCTCTGACTCTTCCACTCTCCAATCACCATCACCACTCTCACCATCAAACTACTCCATCATCTCATCATCAGAAACATATCATTGTTGTCATCTCACAAGCTCTTCAAGAAATCACCTGAGCTCAATGCTGCAGCCAACCACATCCTTCAAATTTACTTCAAGGATATCATGGAAAGCAGCAAGCTGGGAAAGGCAGAAAAGATTGTGAAGTGGAGAGGTGCCATTAAGGTGATATATGATGAATGAGTGCATCATACTGTCATCACATTTTTTCACTAACTGATGTATTCAGGATGCTGTACATGACCTCATTGCTAGGATGGATGAGATTCCAATGACCCTCATCAGCATTGACATGTTCTTGAAGTGGCATGAAGACCTTGGCTCGATTGACCACCCATGGCCTGAGTGGAAGACCACCCTATCCCCTTCCAAAACTGACATTGCCAACCACAAGTGGCTCAATATCATCAAGTGTCAATACAACTACCACTGGTTGGGCCTCCCTATGCCCTGTGTTGTGCCAACACCAACACCACCCACTCAAGAGACTGAAATGCCTAGGAGTGACAAAGGAAAATGGAAAGCAACCAAGGCAGAGGTGGAGCAAATGATAGTGGAGAGCTTGCGCAGGATGGAGGTGGATGATGAGGGTGAAGATGAGGTGCCAGAATAGGAGGATGATGAGGAAGAACCAGCATGAGGCAGGCAGAAGCACAAAGCTGCTGTGAAAATGATGTCCCATCAATCCAGAGGTTGATCCCACTCTAGGAAGGCAACAGTGGAAACCAACAATGAAGACAACATTCCTGCTCAAGGCTGATTGAAATGCAAGCCTTGTCCACCATTGGACAGACTATACAGTTGCACTGCCATAGCTGCCAGAAGGATGCCTTCCCCTGACCCCCATTCCTGCTTGTCATGCTGCAGACACAAGGTCTGATGCTACAGGAACCCCAGGAAGTCCTGCTTCCTGTGTGATGGTCACAAGATTCAATGCAACCATGCCAAAGGCAGCATTGCTGCTCCAACTCAACAGAATCCATCATGAGCCAGGGGAAAAAAGTGAACTTGAAATCTGTCCCTGATGATGGAGGCCCAAGAATCCCAAAGCCCAAAGGGACATCCCCCAAAGCAACACATTTTGATGGTTTCCAAAGCCATCAACACTGGGGTTGGGCCCTCCAACCAGGGAGAGATGATCCCTGAGGGATCTTCACTCAGTATGTTCTCAATTTCCATGTATTTACTGCTGACTCAAATTTTATTCAGAGATTTGTATTCCTGCATTCAAATGCAGGGATTCCCACCCAATCCCAGCTGCTGTACAAGCAGATTTGATTGTCAAGGCTGGCCCATCCATTGCACAGGAGGCAGAGGAATCTACAGTAGCAGGTATGTTTAATCACTCCACATTTACACTAAGTATCATGGTTAACCCTTGTATTCAGAGCAGACACCTGCCCATTGACAACAGCAGCACCCATCCAACTCACAACTGCTGCAACTCCCAGTGCACCATCACCCATCTGTTCCCCAATCACCAAGGTGTCACAAACATCCAACACATTTGAAGAGTGAATCCAAGATTTGGAATGTTGACTCCACAATGCTGAGGCCCACCACCAATACTATGAGGATTGAATGTATGATTTCCAAATACAACATGACAAGACCATGCAGACATTGGACAGGATGGCTCACAAGCTGGAGGCTCTGCATATTTGGGTATATGGACAACCATTGGGTGATGACCTCATTGATCTCTTTGGGCCACTGGCAGATGAGACAAGGGCAGATAGGACAGCAGGGTGAACAAGGCCATCTATCATTTTACTCCTCTGCAGTATATATGATGTCATTTTATATTTCCATTTTAATTGACCACTCCTGCCACATCATATATTCAACCTTTATTTCAGAGTGAGAAAAAGACAATAATGGCTAGACAGCCAACAGAATTGTGAAGGATAATCTCATTCTACTAAAACAACTGCTGATGTATCCCAATAGGCAGAAGCTTAGCAAATGCATGGATTTGTGATATAGAATAGTTAAGTTGAAACTTAAAAAATGAGATAGCAGGATGGTCTCATTCTGCTAAAACCAGAGTCGATGGAACCTGATAGACAGACCCTTGGCAAATGAGTGGACTGTGTGATATGCAATAGTGACCTGCCATCAGATGCAAATGCAATTAATAGTCTGATTTGGCCAACACATTTGATTCTGCTAATATGGCTGCTGATGAATCCCAAGAGATGGACACCTGGTGAATGAGCAGGCTATGCTATTTACAGCATTCACTTTGGAGTCACAAAACAAGATAACAGCTAATAACAGGATAACAATGCAAAGAAAGATGTCAGCCTGCAAAAACAGCATTCCATGGATCCCAATAGATGGAACCCTTCCAAATGAGTGGCCTGTGCAATATGCAAGGTTGATATGGACCGTCTCGACCTGCTAACATGGCATTTGATGGATCCTGATAGATGGAACCCTTCAAAATGAGTAGACTGTGCAAGATGCAAGGCTGAGAGCAATTGGTCATTGGATGCAAATGCAAAGCAATATTCTCATTGCACTAATGTAGGATCCAAGGTATGCCCACAGGTGGGACATGTGCAAACAAGCAGAGTGTGAGATTTGCAAGGTTCAATTCAGGGAAAACATTGCATTCTGCTAATGCAGAAGCCAATGTATTTGGATAGGCAGAAGCTTGGCAAATGCACAGATCAATATTCCTCAGCAGATGGAAATGCAACCAAGGGCATTCAGCCAGTCACTAGTGCTCAATTCACTCTCTGCAGTGAGCAATAAATATCCTGTTTCCCAACAACAGTTTGCTGCTGTTCATCTCAGCCTGTGGACACATGAGCCTTTCAGACAAATGATATACATACCCATGTCAGACCAGACATATCCACAATGGAAATAAAACATGCTGAAGGTGATTGAATGGACTAGCTTTCCACTGGACATCTCTTGTGAAGTACCCACTGACCCACCCATCAGCTACAGGGC